TTTTTTGCATACTGTACTGTACACGGCACATCACTAGTAATAACATCAAAAAAAGTTGAAATCACGTTCAAAAAAAAAGCATAGAAAAAATAAAACAACAAACCCTTAACGAACATCCAAAATTCAAAAAAATGAATTTAAAAAATTTGTTCAATAACATTGACTTTGTACTATGTATAACAACAGTTTACATCATAAAAAATTTCGATAATAATATTAGTTTGCGTCATAAATAAATGATCTACAGAGTTTACTTGTAATTTTCTCACACTCATTCATTTACACGTATACGTATAAAGTACTGTAATTATGACATGATATTTTCTAAAATAGGGGTCAGCTAAAGTGAAATTAATTCAATATATGATCTACATGCTGCATAAATTACATTATTGATATATATATAATCCACTAACCATAACTGCGTCAAAAAGGTAACTCTAAACTTCACTCCGCTTCAGCCGACTACTAAAATAGGAAAAAAAGTGATAACTATAATACCTTCTAAAATAGGAAAAAATATAGCACACCAAAAAGTTGAATGCAACCATCCCTCCACATTTCATGTGATCGTACTGGTATATTTTTTGAGGCTAAGTTTTAAATTATAAACAACTCGAATCTTAATATTTTTTATTAAATAAGAAGCCACATAATAATTATAAATTATTTATAATAATTACAATATTCCCATAAATATTTATATCAAAAAAATTTTTAAATCTAAGCAATGCCATAGAACTTTGATTAACTAGTCAATAGATAGTTTGTATATACTAAAATTTTGTTAGCGTTATGTAATATCTTGTTAATAAAAAGTGCTTTAAACTATATAACAACTAACAGAATTTTATTATATATTATTGCAGCATTACAGTATTTAACACAACGATAATATTATATGACAATTAGAGATGTGCAAATATATTATATCTCATGCAATATCATATAATATGCGAAATATATGCTAGCACGAGAGGCACATCTCTAATTATAATCTTTAGATACAATAGTATTATGGTATTTTGACATTATGGCATTACAGTATTATGGCATTATGGCATTGCAGCATTACGGCATTATGGCATTGCGGTATTAGGCACAAAATAATTGTAGAAAAAATTACGGAAATGCTGTTGCCGTATTAATTTGCCAAATTAAATTCTACCACCAACTATAGGTCAAATACTGATACCAAGAATCGCATATTCACATATTGGTATGAATACTAATAAATGTTATATTGTTGATTTTTTTTGTTAATCTTTTTTAGTATTGTTTCAGGTACTACAAAATTCACAAGAGTTTTTTTATCCAATCAGATGCTAAGAATTGTATACACCACATTTCTTGCTTGTGGACTAACAAAAATGGTAAGTGGCTCATTACAAAAGAAAAAAATCAAGAAATGCTCAAGTTAGATATATATACAAAAACAGGTAAATTTAATACTCAAATTAGAAAAAATCAAGATATAGCCTGCTACATATATATAACTCCATGCTCAAATTATGGAAAATCCTATACGCAATTTCTAATTATACATATATGTATAAATGCAGACTTATGATATCATTTAGCTATGGCTTATATAAATAAAATGCGTAACTTGTGATATAATAAGTATGCATCTATAATAAATATATAAAAAAATTTTCGCTCAAATCTTTGACGATCAGTGATTATCATTTCATCAACCCAATAAAAAATCCTATGAAAAAAAATGAAAAATCCAAAAAATCTAATAAACATATGCGAAAATTCACTCGGGCCACCAGTATTTATGCAAATAAATCAAGCTTTTACTATCATTTATTATAATATCTGTGAATTAATACGGTCCTGGGTTTTATTTTCATTCGTCATACTGTACACATAAAGGGTATGTAGTACTGGTCATATTAAATTTTGAGACAGTATTTTAGACAATATATGCTTATGTGTATAAGTGCACATATATAAGGTGTGAAAAATGGGTGTGAAAAATAGGCAACGTATAACAATATGTGATGAACAGAGTCACGTGAACCAATCAAGTGCTGAGAATTGTACACGCATATTAACTTGCCCGTAAACCAAATACTACGTTGTACATTATACAAACTCTGTTCCTGGTACAATAGAGATAAAGCTGCAAATAGTAGAGCTGAAATTATTAGAAGTGAAATAGGAAGTATCAAAAAAACATGTGATAAAAATATAAAAAATAATAAATACTGTGAATTCTATAATGAAAAGTCTTGCCATGATGAATATCTTGCTCATGATTGTGAATTGGTGATAGAGATTGAAGGAATCAAAGAGATAGTATGCATGTGAAGAATAAGACAGGTATGATAGAGTATAATGAAAAGAAAAGTAAGCAGTTAAAAGTAGAAATTTATAATATCAATAATAGAAAAATGAAATATGAAAAGAATGATTATGTAGATAGTAAGGAAAAAACAAAGATTAATAAAATGATTAAGAATAATAAGAAAAGCTCAAAAAAAAAGAAAAAGTAAAGAAAAAGTGAACACTTACTTGAAATCTGAATTAGAAGAGTATTCGATCGTAGAAAAGTATTGAAGTACTTATATGATATGTTGAGCTCAGTATTGCTTAGAACTTTGATTGCTTCATATATGCTGGAAACTTCAAGAACAAAGTTTCTGGAGCTCTAGCTTGTGTTGTGGTGATATACAATATGTAGTAAACTTGCATAGGAATAAAGGTAAAATGAATGATTAATCGTTACCTTGTATATATAATGCATGTGATAAGCAAATAATTGGAAATTGTGAATCGAGTAATGATCAATTATGCAACTATCAGTATTATGTAATACTGTAGTATACCGAAGTAAGGTTATTGATATGTATGAATTAGATAGGTAATTAATAAGTGGTGTATAAAAAATATCATAATAGAGTTAATAGAAAATAGCATGATTAGTAATAAACAATTAAAAAGCTAAAATGGTGTGATCAATAATTATGTAATTTAGTGATAGTTAAAATTTGTATTTAAAGGCACAGATAAAATAAAGTAAATTAATAATTATTATTACCTGCAAAAAAAATATAAATCATCGAAAATAAATAAGTAAAATATTCAACCAGTTAAAGGAAGCAAAGTGTCAAGATTGTTGACAATTGG